TTTTGGGGGGGCCGTGGTGCCGGGGCTCCGGGGCTCGTGGGGGGGGGGGGTTCGGGAGGCGCCGCTGCCGGTCCGGGGGGGGAGCCGCTTTCAAGTGCCGAGGGGAGATGCTATCACCTGGGAACGGAACGGAACGGGAACGGGAACGGGACGGGAACGGGAACGGCGGCAGGGCCGGCCCGCCCCGCCCCGGGGCTCGGAGCGGCTCCCACGGGGGGGACACGGGGGGGACACGGGGGGGACACGGGGGGCACACAGCCTGGCACAGACCTCCCCAAACCCCCCTGGCCCCACACCCAGGGGCTTCCACGGGTCAGACATTTGGGTCACCGCTGGCCAGATTTGGGTCACCACGGCCAGGTTTGGGTCACCACTGGCCAGGTTTGGGTCACCGCTGGCCAGATTTGGGTCACCACTGGCCAGGTTTGGGTCACCGCTGGCCAGATTTGGGTCACTGCTGGCCAGGTTTGGGTCACCACTGGCCAGGTTTGGGTCACCACGGCCAGGTTTGGGTCACCACTGGCCGGATTTGGGTCACTGCTGGCTGAATGGGGACGACCAAGGGTGGAATCAATGGGGCGAGGGCTCCGTGGGTTTTGGGGTGACCGAGGGTGGAGCAGTGGGGCAACAGCTCCATGGATTTCGAGACAACTGAAGGTGGTGGCCCTGCAGATTTTGGGGTAGCCAAGGCTGGGATCAGCAGATTTTGGGGTAACCGATGATGGGATCAGCAGTGTGGGACTTCCATGGGTTTTGGGGTGACCGAGGATGGGATCAGCAGATTTTGGGGTGATGGAGTGTGGGGTCAGTGGGGTCAGGGCTCCATGGGTTTCGGAATGACCAAGGATGGGATCAGCGGGGTGGGAACTCCATGGGTTTCGGGATGACCAATAGTGGGATCAGCAGATTTCGGGATGACCGAGGCTGGGATCAGCGGGGTGGTGGCCCTGCAGATTTCGGGATGACCGAGGCTGGGATCAGCAGCAGCTGGGGATGACACAGGATGTGCTGGCAGGACTTTGGCAATCTGGGAGGCACGGGCGGGGGGCAGGGAGGCACATGGGGGGTGCTGGTCCCTCCTGCCCCCCCCCCCCCACCTCCACGGGGGTGACACCGAGCTGGGGCCAAGGGCTCCCCATGTGGGTGACACAGGGTGACCCCAAAATTTAGCCTTGGAGGGGCGGGGGAATCCCCTGGGGACACCCGGGGCTGGGTCCCCCCATGGGTGGCACCAGGGGAGGGGCAGGGACTGCACACCGGGGGGACCGTGGGGGTCCCGGGGGGGCCAGGGCCGGTTTTAGGGGAGGTTTGGGGGT